TTGTTGAATCTATGCCACAAAGAATTGAGGCAGTTCTGAAGGCAAAAGGGGGTCCAACCCGTTACTAGCGTGAGAGACATATAAGATTCAACTAATGTAAGTTTGATTGCAGACTTTTTCGTGTTCTGTTATTTTTATTGAAAAAAAAATACAGTCTTTTAATAAATACTAGTAATTCTGCTGTCGATCATTTTATGTTCAAAAGCCATCCCAAGGCCAATACTCTAGGGGAAACCCTGGAAAGATATGATCGTTTGTTTGCTCACACCTGACTGATGTGTTGATGATTCTCACCTTTGGAGCTAGACTCTGTTATCTGCAGGGCAACGCCGTACGAGTTGACAGCAAACGCATAATCTCCACGTTGGTAGTGCACATTGCCCCTCTCTCTCTTATGAATGGCCAGGGCAATTTTCTCTGACGGGGACAGAAGCTCCAAGTCTGGTGCATCTGTAGCCTCCAAGAGTTCCACCTCCAAGGACAAGGAAGCATTTGGAGGGATCTCAGGGTCGAGGCTAGCAAGAGAAAAATATTAGAAAATGAGTCAAGGACACAGGAAAAGAGATATTTAGAAAATACAAACTGATATTTTATGCCCCAGCAAACAAAGTAAAGCTTATTTAGGGTTCCTAAAAGTCAGTTTAGCTTAATAACCTTTAGATTTTGCAGTATTTGTTTGTGAAAAATCAATATTTTAATGCTTACAGTTAAAGAGAAAATGTCTGAAACCTGAGTGTTTTGGACAACTTTTCAAGTTGACCACTTTATTTTCTTTCCTTATCTTTGAAAAAAAAAACATTTTAGATTTTATATACACTGCTCAAACAAACAGCAATCAAAAAAATATAAGTGTTTTTCTATCTCATAAATTTACCTTTACACTGCTTGACTTATTTGTGCAAAATCAGTATTTTGAGAGCCTCCCTGAAAGACTCAGGGAGGCTCTCAGAAGTTTCCTGCTTATTTATTTCTTGCAGATTGAACTAGTAATGCTTGACATAATTTCAGAACTTTGACCTTTAAAATCTGTAATTAACTGTAATAAATGTGTTCATGTGCGAGCTGCTGAGGCAGGAGAAGCTGCTTATTCGGTAATAGTTTGTAAAATTTCTTAATATTGGACAACCTACATTTGCCAGACTGGATGTTTATTTATGCAGTCTTCTTGTTTATTTTAAAGAAAGCAATAAGGATTAAACATGGGGCTGGATACAGCGGGTAAAATAAGTATTGAACACGTCACCATTTTTCTCAGTAAATATATTACTAGAGGTGCTAATGACATGAAATTTTCACCA